GCTGCCGGCGTGGCCCCGCGAAGTTGGGGTGTCACAGTTGCTGCCTAGCTGGCTCCCCCAAGTCCCAGGTGGTAGGAAGTCTGGGTCTGAACTCCCGAAGAGTGGGGGGCTTAGAAAGCACATGGCGCACCCGCGTCCTTCCCCCAACCGAAAAAGTCAAGGACAGATTCACCGACGCGTGGTCCAAAGGGGTCAGGAACCCATCGCAGTGATCCGCGCTGTGGCCTTTTAGGACTCCGGAGGGACAATGAGGATGCCCAAGGCCAGGAGGAATAAAGATGTCCACCTCTTCCCCACCCAGAGCCACTGGCGCCCCAGCTTTGATTCCCCCACGAGCTTCTCCCCTCAGCCTGCCCTGAAGCCCTCCACCTCTTCCTGGGGCCCGTGCGTCAGAATTTTATCTGGCTCCTGCTCTGTAAGACAAATATTGCGGGCGGTGAGAGAAAATGAACCCGGCTGTCCAAACTCCCCAGTCAGTATTTTTTCCGCTTTCTCCCTGCAAGCTGTTAAAAACATGCTGTTCTCTTGTTTTTGTGTTTCTTTTCAGTTTGGTGCTGGAATAGTGCCTTCTGTTGTATTTTCTTCCTCCCATTTTTTAGGTCTTTAGCATGCTGGAAGTACAACAATCAAGCCAATCTAGAACAAGCTTTCATACTTCCAAATTGGGTACAGTGGCTACTTAGCTAGTACAAGGAAGGTTAAACTGGCCTCCCCAGAACTCAGGGACAGCAGTGGGGGGAGGTGGGGATTTAGAAATTCTTTCCCACAAAACGTAATAGGAAGTTTTCCTTTACCCTTGTTATTAAGGCAGCACAGAATAACCGGAATGTCCTTTTTGTTTGCTTTTTTTGGACAGTCAACAACTTAGGCGTGCTAACTGCATGTGGTGATCACATATTCTGAAACCCTAATTCTTTGTGTCTAATTAAATAAAGTAAAATTGTTACTGACTGCAATTTAAGAGACAGACATTTTCTTTTCCTGGAAGAAAGCAGAATTTGATAATAGTGAAAGTTTAGTAACCAGTGGACCTGAACAGTACTGCTCAAATTAGGTCTGGATATATTCTTGATGGTTTTAATTTTGACTATTTTTTAGATTTGCATAAGTACAGTCTGGATTATTTGAATGACCACTTTAAAACCCACTACTACACACGCTCAGTGCCTACATTTGCATGTATGGTTCAGTGCTGCTTTTATGTTTCTGGGATAATGAATAAAGAACAGGTGTGTTGAACATGAAAATAATGTTTTCATCCACTAAATGAAACCCGAGTGGCATCAAGGAACTCCATGTCTTTAGTGCTATTCTATCAAAAAAGAGATGTATCAGTTTCCTACTGGCACCAGGGGAAGAAAAATGTTCTTATTCTTTTGTATATGTGTATGTGTATAAAAGAATTGGGGTATGGGCCAGAGGTATAGGGGGTGAGAAGATTCACCAGAGACAAGAGTGGGGAGCAGAACAGGCAGATCTACTGAAATACACTGTTAAGGGGAGCAGTGGAGAGGTCTGTTGCAACTATAAATGGGTTAGCTCTCTGGCTTGGGGTCAAACTCAAGCAGCAGCAGGGATAGTGCTGAGACTTAACCCGGAGGCCACCAGGGAGGCCCCATTCTTATTCTTTATGTTAAAAGTCTTCAGAGAGGACTTCAGGAAACAAGCACAGAGAAAAACACATTGACAGTTTCACACATGTTATCAACCAGACATTAGTTGAAGGTGAGACCAGCATGGACATACTAACAAAAATTAGCACACTGATGCTAAGCTATTCTGTGTAAGTTCAGACACACTTTGCGTACCCAAGCACCATGAATTGGACACCTAAGGGACAGCTATGATTACACATGAAGTCACAAGTTGGTAAATTAGGCCTCAGAAAATTGCCTGTTTGAGAGTCATCAATTTTGCTCTTCAATCCCAACCTCTGTAACCTTGGCTTCAATCCCACCTCCCACCCCATCACCCCAATAAAATGGAGTCAGCCACCTCTGGGACCCTTTCTTGTTACTGTGATGTGAGAATGAGACAGGTGGTAAACATGCAGATGCTAATAAATCCTGCAATAAAGAAAGTGATTAAAACAGCCTGCAGCAGAAAGAGGCAATTTCAAAAACTGGGCCAAGTGGAAACTGGAACATAAACCTAAGACAGTCTTCTGGGGAGTGTGGTCCATGTACCTGAATCACCTAAAGTGCTTGTTTAAAATGCAGATTCTGGGCCTCCCTGGTGGCACATAGGATTAAGGCTCAACACTATGAGGCTATCAGCAGCTATCACAGCACGAGTTCGATCCCCAGCCAGGGAGCTGACCCACAGGGTGAAGATGACCTCTCCTGTCTCACCCGCTGCTCCCCTCAGCAGTGTATTTCAGTCATTCTGCCTACTCTGCTCCCCACTCTGTCTCTAGTGAATCATCAAACCACCCTCCCCGGCACCTCTGGCCTGTACCCCAGTTCTTGTATGCAGAAATAAATAAACCTTTTTAAAAAATTTAAAAGTAAAGTGCAGATTCCTGGCATCCACCCAGGTCTGCTGACTCAGAACCCCTGAGAAAGGGGAGAGGCATTTTACCACACACCCCTTGTGACAAGTCTGTACATCGACATTCAGAAGCCACTGATTTAAAAAATTCATCTAGAAACAAAATAATCCATGTCAACAAACAAGCATCTGTAGATCTGTAGACGGTGGGGGTGAAAGGGTTGGGGACTGGAAGACTCTTTGCAGACCACAGAAAAGGCAGGTGACAGCTAAAACGACTGATCAATCAGTGACTCTGTCCCAAGTGGCTGTGGTTTCGCCAGATTAAAATGACCCTTCTTTTGCTGCCCTCCTGGGAGTTAGCTACAGACCACAAACTCGGGCAGTGGCCCTGCACCGGCTCTGTATTGCCCTCTTCTCTCTGTTGCTCCTCTGCCTCCTCCCTGTGTCTCTCACACCACCAGACACTATCAGCCGGGGAGACCCGGAGACCACAGCAGAGGGGAGGCTGAAGAGGAGGGCAGCCCTGGGGATCCACAGGACCTGGTGCACTAGAACCCCGAGTTCTGACAGGCTCATACAGTTCACTCATCCAGCAAATGAAGGGAAGCAGAGTCAGGCTTGCTTAGTTTTTGCCAGAAGCTGTGTAGAGAACAAGAAGCAGGACAGGCAGATGGGATAACAGCTCTTGTCACAGCAGCAAAGGGGCAACCCCCCAGGAAGTCTGGAACTCTCCGCTGTGCCTTCCAGCTCCCTGCCTCTTATTTTCTAGGCTTGCATCCCCCACATGGGTCTCAGAGCTTCCAGATCAGCGCTCATTCAAGAGCTGATCTCTGCAGTCTCAGAGCTGGGCGAGAAGGCAGGAGGCAGGGAAGAGTCTTGTATGTAGGTGGTGCCATCAGGGCAAACCCAGACATGTCATCTCACTGAAAGGCCATCAGGAAAGCAGGAGGTGGTGGAAGGTGGAAGAGGATATGTGTGTGGGGGGAGAGGGGATGGAGATTGGGGTTTGATGAAAGAAAACCTGAGACACAGGAAGGCATTTCCCAAGGATGAGCTTCATTTTTTTTTTTAAGATTTAATTTTCTTTCTTTATGCATACAAGAGCTGGGGTGCAGGCTGGAGTTATGAGGGGTGAAAGGATTCACCAGAGACAGAGTGAGGAACAGAACAGGCAGATCTGAAATACACTGCTGAGAGGCGCAGTGGGTGAGACAGGAGGCTTGCTGTGTCATGTGAGTCACCTCTCTGGTGGAGATCAAACTCATGTTGTGTTGCAGTGGCTGCGGATAGCTTCATAGTGCTGTGCTTAACTCCTTGTGCCACCAGGAAGGGCCCAGAGGTAAAATTCTTACCCCATTTTTATGACTGGGAATATCTGACGAAGACTTTACCTGGAGTTATACAGTGAAACTGAAGCAGCTGTGAAGCTCAATCAGGGGTTACCAGTGCTCCCTGCTTCATCCTCCTACCTCCATGTCGTGTTTATTCATATAAAAAAGAGGAGATTTCCAGAGCAAAACTTTGCTTGAATCCTTGAGTTGCCAAAGAAACGGGACTGTGGTTCTGATTCAGGGCAGTACCTACCATGATTGAAAGAGAATATGCTAGAGTCTGGAAGAGTCAGACTAACCTCTCTACTCCAGGAATTATTAGTTGTGTGACTTTGGGCAAATGACTTCCCCTCTCTGAATCTTGGTTTCTGCATCTGTAGAGCAAAGCTGTCCAACTTAGCTCATGTAATTGTTAAGATTAAATAATACATCTAGATTAGTGCATGACAAAAGTAAGCTTTCAAATATCAGTGATTACAGTCATTGTCTACGAAGGAAGTAGAAACAGGTAAGGAAACATAACAATTCAGCTTTGTCAACCAAGAGGACCAACGTGAATGGATAAAAGGAATATGTGATTTACCGAAAGAAAACCTGACTCATGACCTTCCAGCAAGTTTTCGTATTGGTAATATGGAGCAAATTTTACCAGACTTCTCTTAGGTTCGCTGTGAGAAACAAGCCTAACACAAAGCCTTGTGTAAATAGAGAGCACTAGGTCAGTGTTAGCAGTTAGGGCATTTGTTACCAACAGCTCAAGGAATCAGGTGCCTCAGCCAACACAGAGAGAACAGGCCCCAAACTCCCCAAGAAAAACAGTCAGAATTAGCATTTCCTCTAACTACAAGGGGTAGATTTAAGCTAAACCAACCTGGAGATCAACAGGTGCAGTGGGTTTACTCAAACATTTTCAGTCTCTGAGTCCTCTTACTGGCGCTAATGTACTTAGCACAGACAGAATCCCTGGTTCTCTTGCCAGATGCTGTCCACATGACAAAAACTCTTTGTTAAGGGGAAAAGGCCAGGCACACAGTGTTACTGAAGTGGAGGGGTGACATTTAAGCTGAAAATATTTGGCAGTGACACACAACTCCTAAACAGGTAACTAAACTTTAAAATATATTAAGATTGGGGAGCCCTCCCTGGTGGCACAAGGGATTAAGTGACAGCACTAAGAAGCTATCCACAGTCACTGAATCAGGAGTTCGATCCCTGGCCTGGGAGCTAACCCACATGGCAGACCTCTCCCATCTCCCCACTGCTCCCCTCAGCAATGTATTTCAGTCCATCTGCATGTTCTGCTCCCCACTCTGTCTCTGAGAATCCTTAACTCCCCCTCAATCCCTGCACCTCTGGCCTGTACCCCAGTCCATGTATGCCTAAATAACTAAATATTTTTTAAAAGGTTAAGATTAAATAACAAAACAAGGGTCAGAACACTAAATCTTGCCATCTGTGTAACACAGAAGGCACGCGTGTGCACTTGTGTGCTGATTTAAAAAGTTACAGGACAACATGAACAATCAACACTGGTTGGTATGGGAAGGAATCTGGGTGGGAGGAGAAACAGAAGGGACATTTCCAGTTGCCCATGGTTGGATTTTTACTATTTGCTAAACTCCAGATTTCAAATTTCACCTATTTTTCACTAACATCTTCTTTCTGTTTCAGGCCCCAATCCAGGAGACCACATTTTTTGTAGGCTTTGTGAATGAGGAACCACAAAAATGTTCCATATTCAAACCAACCAATCTTGACTCTTGGTTACTACGCCCCAGACTGTACCCTGCCCAGCTTCCCTGTGGCGTCCGTAGACGTGAATAAACAGCCTCCTCCTGATCACTCTTCCGGTCTGCCCTGCTATGTCCACAGGGTACAGCCCAGATTTCTGTCATCCCTTATCACCATGTCTTGGATTAGGCACAGTCAATATGAGGCAATATTTTTCAGCATCTGGATACACTATCCCCAGGCTTCAACTAGACAAAGGGTTGATTTAGCCACAGCAGGGATTACTTAAAATAGTCTTGGTCCCCTGAAACTTCTCCCTGTGGTATCCCTTGAAGACTTCTTTTTCACTTCCTTTTCTGATCTGCCCAGTATTGTTAGGAGAAAAGCCATCCAAGTAAGAAAGGACTAGTGCTGAGGCCAGAGACCCCCTGGGCACAACTCATATTTCAGCAGAAATCCATCTGGGACTGTAATCAGAAACCGGAATTTCCACTCACTTCTAGGACTTAAGGAAATCAGCTCCCTTTTGGATCTGTGTGATTAAAATTAGCTGCATACCCAGAGTGTTCTAGAAAAGCCCCTACAAAGACTGAATGTGTTATCTGCAGACTGATTAGGACAATCTACCAGCTATGGTTAGTAGAAGCAGATAAAGAAGGTGGCTAAAAAAAAAAAAAAGTGTAAAAACTTTAACTGGATCCTGTTCTTCTCTCTCCCATCTTCCAAAAAAGGAAGTTAATGGCTGTGGACTTCAAAAAGGTCATGAAATAGGGAGTCTAAGATCATGGTTACAAGAGACAGTCAAGCTGGGTTTGAATCCCAGTTCTGCAACTTTCTATCTTGGGCAAGGCATTTACTATGTCTGAACATTTGTTTCCCCACCTTTAAAAGGAGGATAGTAATAGTTACTGACTTCGTTAAGGTTGCTGTCAGGAATGTGTGAGAAAGAAGCAACTCGAAACATTCCTGACATACAGCAAGTGCTTATAATAGATGCCAGTTAATATTTCCACGACTCCTCCATAGAGCAAATCTACTTAGAGGGTGTAAAAACAAAAAGCAAAACCCAATAATTAAAAAAAACAAAAAAAACAAAAACCAAGCCCCAATGCATTCTCCAGATAGTTCTAAGATCAAGTTCAAAGACCAGTATCTCTCAGGTGTTACACATTAAGAAGGGACTCTCCTACCACTTCAAAGAGCTGAACTGGTCAGTTCTCAGGACTTTTCAAATGCAAATTTTACTTCCTTCTGCAAATGTTTGCTTTTTACCCCATTACCTAAGGGAGGAGCAATCAAAGGTATTCTAAGGCCTTTCACTTCACAGGGGCTGGATCCCTATTAAGTGCCCTCACCACCCCTTGAGCTTCTTTGCCCTGAATAATATGTTGGCATCTGACGGCAGGCAAGGGCAAGACCCTGAAGATTCATATACCTTTGGTTTGCCTTTGATGTTGGTAAAGGCAACGACATAGCCTTAAGACGATGTATTTGATGTGGTTTGCTCATGTCTGAAATCTTGGCAATGAGCAAGTGGCTGGTAACTACCTCTGAAAGTAGTTGTTTTCCCCTCTTTAAGTGAACACCTATCTTTTATTACCTATAAGTACAACCAAGGTAACGCCAAACAGAACTAAGATGAACTGAGATGAACTGAGAATAGACTCACCGTGAGTTGTCTACCATGCAGACAATCACTGTTGGGATGGAGATCAGAAGTGATGGGCATGGTTTTCTCCAGAAATTTCTGCAATGATAGCAATCTAAGAATGCAATGCAGGAACACAGCTTCTAAAGAAATGTAACCCAGATTTCAAATTACATTGGAATCTTGACACTAAGAAAACAATCAATGCTGAAAGGAGGTTCCTGAAGGAAAGCAGAGCTCTGAAATTTTTAGTGAGAATAGGCTGCCCTCTGCTGGACACTAAAGATGGTGCAGCAGACAACGTTTCAAGTTTTCAGACATAGTGGGGAGTTCAAGAACACAACCCAAAAAACATGGCAGCAGATTACAACTTTGAAGCTCTTTTTTAGAATACCGTCAGTAATCACAGTGACTACAATCACAAGAAAGGAGAAAGGGCTGAGCTTTTAAAGTCATTCAGGTTCTTTCATAAATGTATGTTAAAGAACTAGCCTCCTATTCTGCATAGCCCCACAAATACATCACTGGAAAGAAAAAAAAAAGGGGACGGGGGGGGGGGAGGGCACATTACAGGAGACTCTGGGGAGCCTTAGAGACATATTAACACAGAAACCAGGAAAAAGCAAGACTAACTCATGAATGATGCAGGGTATTTTCTTGTGGGTTGAATGAACATATTTCAGGTCACTTCTCTCAAAATAAGATTAACCTTTGCTCTTATGTCTGAGGGAGGAACAGCAGCTCCAGGGGAAAATGCAGAAAAAATAACAGCGGCAGAATAACAAAGGGGAGGTCTATAGTGTACTTGTCTCAAATAAACTGCTAAGTATCTAAAAATTACAGAGCAGACTCTCCCAGCCATCCTGAGCAGGAGGGCTTAATACCCACACACAGTTTTCCTTTTTCATTCTCTTACTGAAGACAGTCACAGACTTTTGTCTGAGTAGGCGAAGCAATGCCAAGCAATCAGGCTGAATTTAAAGGTCAGGCACTCTTGCTGCAGCTTGGAACTACCTGCTCGAAATTTCTCATCCCACTTAATTAATTAAAATTTTAAAAGGCACTCAAAGGGATCTGAAAATAAGTCCCCACTTCTTTCCAGATGTGTTAGCATTCAAATGTCCTGAGATGAGAGGCTCCATGGAAAGAGAACTACAGTAAATTATTAACATCCATTAGTGTACTTCTGTATTATATTAGTTAATTGTTTCCCAGAAAGCAGTGCCTAGACAAAATGGGAGACAGGACAGTTCATGTTATAAGCTAGAAAAAGTAGAGAAAAGGGCTTGGGAAAAGGGAAGAGGCCTACACAGAGGTCTGGGTAGCCAGGGGTCATCACTGGGAAAAGGCACTAAATATTTTACTGATTCAGTTATCTTGGATCTTTGCTGCAACTATTTGCCTTCCAGTCTGTAATACCAACAACAGTGGATATTAGCAAAGTCACCCAGGGAGTTTTTACAGGCCACTAACTCTGAATTCATGGAGTTAATCCAATAGAAGTATTTTTTAAAGGGTCCCCAGGTGCTTCTCTCATGCAGTTCTGCTGAGAACTAAGAATCACAGATCTATAGCTATACATTCTCCAGGACTGAACCAGGGTGCAACCAGCAACGGATCAAGAAGCATACCCTTCCCCACTTGGCAACTCAGGGTCTTAGAGTTAAAATGACAAATTATAGGCCAAAGGCCCAAGTTACCAAATGCTGGTTCTGCAGGCAAAGGAAGGTTAAACAGAACCCTCAGAAAGCCGTACTGGCGGGAACCAAGAGATAAGCCTATGAAAAACCCTTGCCAGATGTTTGCCTTAATTCACACAACCTTGGAACCACCAAGACTCACTTTTGTTTATATTTTTTATCTCCAGGTATGAAAGAAAAAGCTCAGAAACTAGAAGTAAAATCCAAACCAAGCAAAAAAAGCCATGGTACCTCGTGGTACTTTATGAAGTTACCTCAATATATGCTTACATTTTTTTAAGGCTCATATTCAGGTAAAAGGCTATTTACTTGTTATTTTTCACACAACCTACTAATGCTAAGAAGCTACAAGAGGAATGGGTCTGTCCATGTCACTACATTCCATAATCTCATCTTCCTTATCTGAATTCCCCTCATTTCATTTATCAAATTTACTGGCTATAATCTGTTTCAAAGTTAGAACTCCACTGCGGAAAAGAGCCAAAGACAGCTTTCTGCTTTCAGAATCACTCACTACTTGGTATTATTGAATTGCATTTATCACTGCAGTCATCTTGCAGTTGAGATTTCTTTTCCTGGCAGGGTACCTCATGGGTAGAAATACCCATACTTAGGAACATTAGACTCTCACAGTCTACAGAGTCTTAATCCAAGAACATAAGATGGACTCAGGAACTCTCTCAGGCACAACCTGGACACACTGATTAATTCCTAATGGTACTTAGTTTTTCTGCAAATAAAATAAAACTCACACTGGATTTCCTAAAGTTGTTGTCCTTGAGTTTTCATAATAAACATTCTCATCTATGTGGCTTGTGGAAGGTAGGTCTATACGCTGAACAGAGAGAGTAGGGATGATACGAGGAGTTGATCTCCCCCAGTTTCCAACCTCCATCAAATATTTAAAAGCAAAAGAAGGTGTCACCTTAAGAAAAGGAAAATCAAACCGCCAACATTTATTGAACTTTTTCTTTCACAGAAAATAAAGTATGCTTGTAATGTAAACACTGACACATGAGATAAAGTACAAGGATCAGGAAGACAAAGGAATTGGACAACACTCTTGCTTCCACGCTACAATCTTCCTGATTTCATGTGCATGAACCACACATGGCTATAAAAATTGGACAAATTAAAGGTAGCCTTCATTTAGATTTAAGAAACTCCAGGGAGCCACTGAAATCCACAATGCAATACAAGAATTCGGAACTGTTGCACAAAAATTAAAGCTGAGCCCATGTCCATGTATCCATTTACCCATTATTTGATGTAGATGTGTAAGAATAAATTAACACACGAGTTTTAATGTGACTGTGGAAGCAAAGATTAAACTGAGCCTCTCTTCCCCATTTCAGAGAAAATAAAATTAACCAAATAGAAAGCAGAGCTGTGTGATGCTGGCTAGAAGACAGGACAATCACAACTAACTCTTATTTCAATAAATCCCAAAAAATGCAAACCACAATAAAGAACTGCCCACTGGGCTTAGCCCAAATGATCACTCCAGAGCTAAAGGTGCAGAATCAATAAGGTTTTCAAGGTTCTTTCCCAGAATTCCAAACTAGGGGTAATGGCCCAGATAAATGCTTGGGATGAAGAACTAACTTGGTCTAAAACAAAGGATCTGTTTCTAAACTTGAGTTCAGCAATAAAGATCATGGTGTATGGGCTTCAATTTTGTGATTCAAAGAGGTAATGACTTTATCAGATGACGCCTGCCAGGTGCCAGGTAACTTTGATAATGGATATCTACCACAATCTGGTTCAGCAATGGGTCTCTGTCCTATGACTTAGGGCTCAGACAAGGCAGTTGAAGATCTGGAGATGGGTGAGCCCTGGAATTGCCAAGTACACCTACTCCCTCACTCAGGCCCATAATCAAGGGCAAATACCTGCAGCCCTTCATTGCTCGATACCCAACAGTCTACCAGGAAATAAGGACCTCTGACACTCGACCCTTACAGGGAGCAGAGCAGTCACCAGGGCTGACAGTGACTCACTGAAGGAGAAATGCTACTCTGACCAAGTGTTTTGAAACTCCTTTTCCCAGAAAAAAATAAATTCCCCGCTAAAATGCAGAGTTTTAAAATGCATTTGTTTAACATCACATGAAAGATACCTTCCCAGATCATTTTTCAAAACACCTAAATACACATAAACACCCCTGTAGGATTTGGCAAAAATAAAATCAGCTTTTAAAAGGGATAGGAACTTACTTCCAAGGAATCTCTAGACCAAACACCTTGTTTTATGCTATGTGACAAGAAATTCTTGCTCAGAAGTCTTTTCCCTGTATAATATCAAGATGGTAAAGCCAATTAGCATAGATAGGTAGCACAGACAAATGGATTTGATTAGAAATATGTTGCCCACCATGGAGCTCTACTACTGAACTCTTAATTTTGCAAGAAGCAGAGGGTGTTAACCACTGTGAAGGACATACACTATTGGACTGGCAGGAATGGCAAGAATTTTTTTCTTAAAGATTTATTTTATTTACTTATCACACAAGAGCTGGGGTGTAAGCCAGAGGTGTGGGGTGAGAGAATTCACCAGAAACAGAGTGGGGAGCACAACAGGCAGACTGACTGAAATATACTGCTGAGAGGAGAAGCAGGCAAGACTGGAGAGGTCCGCTGTGCCATGTGGGTCAGCTCCCTGGCCCAGGATGGAACTTATGCCGATAACTTCATGGTGCTAAGACTTAACCCCTTATGCTATCAGGGAGGCCTGATGGCAAGATTTTTCACTGAAAACTCTCCATCCTATCCCATATCCAACCATGCATGGCAATATTTGCCTCAGAAAACCATAGTCAAGTGTTGAGATCTAAATGTCAAAAATCTTTAAACAGCACATGGGTTGCCAGCCTATCTTCTCTCCAGTTATCACACTGCACTGTCCAGGACTATTTCCTCTCCAGAGCTTCAGGTCCATTCTAGAATTCCTTTGGACAGGATCCCAAAACAAAACTTGTACATGGTAACTAGCCATTTCTTCCCTTATCTTGTCTGTTCTCCCTTCTTGGCATCAGTTTCTTTGGAAAAGCACCTCTTTGTAAAACAAAAGAGGAAAGACAGAGCCTTCCTATTTGCAGATACTGGGCACAATTACACTTAGGGAAATAAGGCACCTATGAGGTGACCCCAGGCTGACTGGGGAATGGTACTGATTCTAGGTCCTGTATGGCTACAAGGAAGCATAACTTCCCAACATAAGCAATCTGTTCTTGCCACAAGCCAGGCTGCGCCGTAAGACACTGGTGAGATGGTCTGGCCAATGGAGATCGAAAGAACTCAAAGAAATACAGAGGAGTCTCCCTTAAATAAAATGTTACAGTCCCAGCCAGGTATCTGGCCAACCACATTCCTTCAGGTACTGTTTCCGAGTTGAGTGAGTTAGAAAGGGAGAGCACTGGAGGGGAAGGCAGGCAACCTGGCTTCCAGGCCCCGTGCTGATACTCACTGGCTGTGTGAGCTGGGACAAATCTCTCCACCTCCCTCCTTAGTCTCAGTCTCCTCATTGTAAAAGGAGGGAAAGACCACCTGCCTTGCCTACCTCACACTGCGTCTGTGAGGATCAGATGAGATAATGAGAGTGTCTTTCT